TTAATGAGAAAATAAATCTTTCTTCATCCCTATGAAAACCTTTCTCAAGAACTTTGAGTTTCTATATGGTATCCTTCGCCTTTTGCCTCACGGCCGTTTCAATCTTCACTTCTGCTTCGTCTCTCTGAGTCTCGACAATCTATTCTTGTAATTCTTGCCTCTAACTACCATGGCTTCTCATTCTGATTCTTCTTCTCCTCATAAATCTCTTCAAAATTTGGCCCCAAATCCCTCGACAAACCCTAATTTGTCGAATTTGTATGCTTCTCTCATAATTTAGAACATTGGAAGCATGGTTCCAATTAAGCTCAAGAGATCCAACTATCTTCCAAGGCGTGTTGTGTTTACACCGATTCTCCGCGATACAAACTTCTCGGAATTGTTGACAGTACTGAGCCGTGTCCACTGCTATTTTTTCTAGATCGCTCCATTAATCCAACTTTTGAGCTATGGTATGAAAATGATCAGAATCTTCTGATTTTTCTCAATTCTACACTCTCGGAAGATGTAATTCCTTTCACTATTAGTGCGTCTTCCTCTCAAGATCTTTGGATCAAGCTTGAGCAGCGTTTTGGTGGGATCTCCCATGCTCACATCCATCAACTTTGGTCTTGTCTTCAAGAAATTCAGAAAGGTACTCAATCTATGGCGGATTATCTTCAACAACTAAAAGAAATCTCTTATTCTCTCTCTACTGCTGGTGCACCTATCTCTCATCGAGATTTAATGGCAGCTACTCTCGTTGGATTACCTGATGATTTCGAATCATTTATTGATTTTCTCAGGTTACGTCTATCTTCAACATCTCTGGATGAGTTACATGGCCTTCTACTCACCAATGAGCTTTCAATGTCTCGTCGTAAGAATCTTTCTTCCTCTAGCACTGAGCCTTTTCAGGCATTTTCTGTTTAGTTTGAACCGCCTCTTCTTCCAACTTCACTGCCTCAAGTTTATGCTACACAACCTCAATAGTCTTTCTTATTCAACTCTAATCGTGGAAGGAATAACAATTGGGGCAATCAATATCATAATACTGGCCGGTTCAACACCAATCGTGGACACAGAGGAAATTATTGTGGTTAATACTCCAATTGCAGTCATTAGCAAGGGTTTTGCAACTCTTTGTTTTCTGGCACTTATGTTCCTTACCAAATATGTTACTCTACAAGCCATGAAGCCATTGACTGTTTCGATCACATGAACCCTGACATTTTTAGGAAGATTCCTCCTACAAAACTTGCAGCAATGTGTGCACATTATACCTCCAAGCCTTCCACATCTTAGCTTCTGGATTTTGGGGCTACATCTCACATCATTAATGACATTGACAACATTTCTTCACCTACACCATACACTGGAAAGGACAAAGTTTACATCGGTGATGGTAAAGGTCTCTCTATACACCATGTTGGTCCTTCTTCTTTGCATTCTTCTAATGCTAATTTTAAGTTGAGCATTGTGCTTCATGTTCCTCAAATGAAACATAATTTGTTATATGCATCCTAATTTCTTAAAGATAATTACTGTGCCTTAACTCTTAACTCTGATGAATCTGTTGTAAAGGATCATGCTACGGGGAAGATGCTTTTGTAGGGTCCAGTTAAAGATGGTTTATACCATTTGCAAAGTTGTCCCTCGACTAGTCAATCTCCTGGATCTTATGCTCTTGTTAGTGCTCAAGGTTTAGTTACACTCTGGCACAACCGGTTAGGACATCATCCCTCTTGTATATTTCGAAGAGTAATCTCTAGTAATAATCTTGTTATTCAAGGTACAACATCTGTTGATTTCTTTGCTCCAAGTGTGTTATAGCAAAAAATCATAAACTGGCATTTGGTTCATCAACTATATCAACCTCTCATTCTCTTGAGCTATTACATTGTGATTTGTGGGGACCAACCCCTATCACTTCAGTGAGTGGTTTTCGGTATTATTTTCTCATAGTTGATGATTTTAGCAAATATAGATGGTGTTTTCCTTTAAAGACTAAATCGGAGGTGTACTATACTTTTGTAATGTTCAAAGCTTATGTTGAGAATATTGTTGGCAATAAAATCAAGATCTTACGTTCAAATTCAGGGGGTGAATTTACAAGTTTACAGTTTAAATCTTTTCTACATACTCATGGTATTGTGCATTAACTCAGTTGTCCACACACACCAGAACAGAATGGTTATGTGGAGAGGATACACAGGCACCTTGTTGAGACAGCTTGGACTTTGTTAGTTGAATCTAGTGTTCCCCATCACTATTGGGTTGAACTTTTTACCACTGCCATTTATCTCATCGATAAGCTGCCTATATTTGGAAATACTAAATCACCCTGGGAGTTGTTGTTCCATAAGTATCCAGATTATTCCAAACTTAAAGTTTTTGGTTGCAGTTATATATCACATCTAAGCTTGATGGAAAGAGTAATAGGTGTGTTTTCTTGGGCTATAGTTTACAACACAAAGGTTATAGATGTTTGGATTTGGACACCAATAGGGTTTATATATCCCAAGGCATGTCACATTTGATGAGGGCACTTTTCCATTTAAAGATGTCAAGCCTATTTCATCATCTGTTGATCGTTCTTCCTCTCTGTCCTCATCTATTGATCTCCATTTTTTTATGCCCACATCACCTATATCCACTACACTTGTACCTCCATCACCATCCTTCTCCACTTCTCCACAGCATAATGCATCTTCACAATATGTGCATTCTTTTCAACCTGTGCCTATACACCAACCTGTGCAATTTTATTTATCTGCACCAAATGTTCATCCCATGGTCACTCGAGTTATAGTACTAGTCTATGTTGATGATATTCTGGTTAGTGACCCTGATTCTAATGTCTGCAACCAGTTTATAGAAAAGTTAAGTACTATATTTCCTGTCAAAGATCTGGGGCCATTGCATTACTTTCTGGTTTTAGAAGTCCAAAGAACCACTGATGTTATGTTTCTTCATCAAAGCAAGTACTTGTTTAATTTGTTACAGAAAACAAACATGGCTAGAGCTAAACGATGTTGCACTCCTCTTAGCTCTACCAAGTTAGATCAGAGTGGTGAATTACTTGCCAATCCCACTAAATACAGATCTCTTGTAGGTGTTCTCCAATACTTAACTTGGACAAGACCTGACATTTCATTTGCAGTGAATCAAGTCTGTCAATTCATGCATGCCCCTAATGTTATCCATATGCAAGCAGCTAAACGCATATTGAGATTTCTCAAATGTATCATTGGTCATGGCCTCTAGTTTAAAAAAGGTCAAATACACTTGTCAGCCTACTCTGATGCAGATTAGGCTAATTGTACTTATGACAGAAGGTCTACAAGTGGTTCCTGTGTTTTTTTAGGCACCAATTTAGTTAGCTAGAGTACAAAGAAGCAATCAACTGTTGCTCGTTCATCTAATGAGGCTAAGTATAGATTCTTGGCTCACACTGCTACAGAGGTTACTTGGATATGCAAATTGCTCAAAGATTTTGGTTTTCCTCTATCTCATAAACCCACTCTCTGCTGTGATAATATCTCGGCCATCTCACTTGCATCCAATCGTATATTTCATGCTCGAACTAAGCATGTTCAGATTGATTATCATTATTCATGAGTTAGTGCTTGCAAACTTGGTTGCAGTTCAGTATGTTTGTAGCCAGGATCAAATTGTAGATATTCATACCAAAGCCTTGTCTAAAAGTAGGTTTCTGTTTCTGCAGTCCAAGCTTTCTCTTGGAACCTTTGATTTTTCCAAGTTTACCTTGAGGGGGTGTAAAGATGAAGATACCACATCATGACTAGAGTTGGTTATTAGTTGTTATAAGTTTGTTACAAATATAATTAGGTTGTTACACAATGTAATTAGTCTTAGATAGTTAACATTCAATAGCCAAAGGGCTATATATATGTAATTGTATTATTCATTTACAATTAATGAGAAAATACATCTATCTTCCTCTTTAAGAAAACCTATCTCAAGAACTCTGAGTTTCTATAAAGAGGAATGTCACTAGACCGTACTATTGAGTTGAGGAGGAAAAAAAAGAGTTAAATCAATTTCAGAAACCATTTTAACTAAAAAACTTTTATTTAAATTATTAAAGAGGATGATTCATGTCTCCGGGTATAGAGATTTGAGTCTAAAGAGCGAGACACTATTATAGTCAACTTGAATAAAACCAGAATTTCGTGACGCTTTGATTTAAAATTTGGATCCTCCAACATAACCCCTGTTTTATTAAAATCTTGTTATTTTAATACGCAGAGAGAGGTACGCAACGGACAGCCAATAAGCTTCTGCTTGTGCCGTATGGAGGGTCCTTCGCTCTCTCTGACTCTCAGCTTACTGTCAGCCAAATCAAAGACCTCTTCTTCTTCAATCCAAAATTTGTTTTGCCTTTTGTTCAGCCACTGATCCACCCAGTCGTTTCAGGTATACTCGCCGTAGTCTCCAATCAGCTCCGCCGAATCGTTTCATTTTTGGAAATTCGGTTTTCTGGTAATCTTCACTTCCAGTGACACTGACAGTGAGTTTTCTTTTCTTTTTTGGTTGTTTTGATTTCAGCTCTCTCTTTCTTTCTTTTGCTGGTTTTGGGTATCTCAGACTTTGAAGGGAAGAGCTGAAAAAAAAAGGTAACATGGCTTTAAATCCACTCTTGCTTTGTACATTGACTAGTTTAGTTTACTAATTTCTGGGGTTTTACCCATAATCTCACAGAAAGGCACGGATTTTAATTTACGTTTTATAATTTTATATTGCTTTTCAGCAAAGCATGAATATCTGGTTTTTCCATTTTATTTCTGGGTTTCTTTCTGCCTCTTGTTTTGAAATTTTGATTTAAATTTAACTGGTATTAATTCTGTTATTTACTTGCATTGAATTTCCCCACAAAACCCTTTATTTCTTTTTAGCACACAGAGAATCAAGGCTCATCAATTTGAATTTCATTTTTCTAGTTTTATTTCAAAGTTCTAAAACCATTTGTCCTGAAATCTGTAAAACCCACCATCATATTGTTTTATTTTATTTTATTTTATAATTCCTCAGCTGTTTGCTGTGATTCGGGTTCTGAATTTCTTTACATATGATTGCAACTTGATCAGTAGATTAGTCTTTAATTTTCTTCAGTTGTCTGACCTGAAACAACTCCGCCTATGTATCTTACATTGCCGGTCCCAAGCCCGGATAAAGGAGGAGGGGGAGAGCGTCAGGTAGTCGACAGCCGGCACTCCATGATCACGTCGAATCCTTATGAAAATGAATCCAGAACAAAATCGCGCTAAAGATAGGGCGTCACCCGTAAGTGGCGCGCTGTGTGGCCCGAGCACAGTGATAAATGAGCAAGGGTCGCTGTATCTCCATCGGCACCCGGATGCAGTGTTAAATGAGCAAGGGGGCCATAGAAACTTCTTTTCGAACGACTCCACTCAAAGTTGTTTGGGAGCATATGCTCCTATCAACTTTACACGGGACACACAAAAGAAGTACTTTGATCCTATTAGACGGGGGAGGGTGAAGAAGCTAGGACAGAATGGTAGAGTTCAAGAGAGCAAAATGCGTTTAGGAACGTGGAATATAGGAACCTTAACGGGAAAATCTATGGAAGTAGTGGAAGTTATGGTGAGGAGAAGGATAAATATTATGTGCCTACAAGAAACTAAGTGGGTTGGTAGTAAGGCAAAGGATCTAGAAAACTCAGGGTTTAAACTTTGGTATTCGGGCACAAATAGAACAAGAAACGGTGTTGGCATCATCGTGGACAAGACCTTGACACAAGATGTTGTAGATGTCAAGAGGGTAGGAGATAGAATCATGGCAATCAAGATTGTAATAGGACAAGAACTTATCAATGTGATTAGTGCGTACGCACCTCAAGTAGGGTTGGATAAGAGTTCGAAGGAGAAATTTTGGGAAGACCTTGGAGACTTGGTGCAAGGAATTGCTCAGACGGAGAAGTTATTTATAGGAGGAGATTTAAATGGACACGTGGGCAGGGAGACAGGCAACTATGGAGGTTTTCATGGTGGCCATGGTTTTGGGGAGAGAAACGAGGATGGGGAAGCTATCTTGGATTTTGCAATGGCATATGATCTCTTCTTAGCCAACACCTTCTTTAAGAAGAAGAGAGAAGAACATGTGATCACCTACAAGAGTGGGTCGTCAAAAACACAAATAGATTTTCTCCTAATGAGGAAAGGAGATCGTATAACTTGTAAGGATTGCAAAGTTATACCAGGAGAGAGCGTGGCTAATCAACATCGCTTGTTGGTGATGGATGTACATATCAAAAGAGTGAGACAAAAGAACAAGACTTGGAAGTGCCCAAGGACTAGATGGTGGAATCTAAAAGAAGAAAAACAAGTCATTTTCAAAGAGAAAGTAATCACCCAGTGTGTGTGGGATAGAGAGAGGGAAGCTAGCCAAATGTGGGATTCCATGGCTAGTTGTATTCGAAAAGTAGCAAAAGAGGTATTAGGAGAGTCCAAAGGTTTTGCCCCACACCAAAAGGAATCTTGGTGGTGGAATGAGGAGGTACAAACAAAGGTGAAGGCTAAGAAGGAATGTTGTAAAGCCTTATACAAGGATAGGACCGATGAAAATGGTGAAAGGTATAGAAAAGCGAAGCAAGAAGCGAAGAAGAAAGCTGTGAGAGAAGCTAAGTTAGCGGCTTATGACGATATGTATAAGTGACTAGATACCAAAGAAGGAGAGTTGGATATCTATAAATTAGCTAGAGCAAGGGAAAAGAAGACAAAGGACCTAAACCAAGTGAGGTGCATCAAGGATGAGGATGGAAAGGTTCTTGCTACAGAGAACGCGGTTAAAGACAGATGGAAAGGTTATTTTCATAATCTTTTCAATGAAGGACATGAAAGGAGTGCTTCTTTAGGGGAGTTGAGTAACTCAGAAGAGTGTAGAAACTACTCTTTTTATCGTAGAATCCGGAAGGAAGAAGTGGTTGTAGCTTTGAAGAAGATGAAGCATAGAAAAGCAGTAGGCCCAGACGATATACCAATCGAAGTGTGGAAAGTTTTGGGAGAGACAGGTATAACATGGCTCACTGACCTTTTCAATAGGATTTTGAAAACGAAGAAGATGCCAAATGAGTGGCGAACGAGCACTTTGGTGCCTATCTACAAGAATAAGGGTGACGTACAAAATTGCATGAACTATAGGGGTATTAAGCTAATGAGTCATACAATGAAGCTTTGGGAGAGAGTCATTGAGCATAGATTGAGGCAAGAGACACGGGTTTCGGACAACCAATTCGGGTTCATGCCAGGGCGCTCAACCATGGAGGCAATCTATCTCTTACGAAGATTGATGGAAAGATATAGAGATGGGAAAAAGGATTTACACATGGTCTTTATAGATTTGGAAAAAGCGTATGATAGGGTCCCAAGAGACATTCTTTGGAGGATTTTAGAGAAGAAAGGAGTACGAGTAGCATATATCCAAGCTATAAAGGATATGTATGAAGGAGCAAAGACTGCCGTAAGAACTCATGAAGGACAAACCGAAAGCTTTCCCATAACTGTAGGATTACATCAAGGCTCATCCTTAAGTCCTTACCTTTTTGCGTTGGTAATGGATGAGTTAACAGGACATATTCAAGATGATATTCCTTGGTGTATGCTTTTCGCAGACGATATAGTGTTGATAGATGAAACTCAGGAAGGGGTAAATGCAAAGCTTAACCTTTGGAGAGAAGTGTTGGAATCTAAAGGTCTTCGCCTAAGCCGATCAAAGACAGAATATATGGAGTACAAGTTCAGTGCAAATGGAGGCCAAAACGAGTTAGGGGTGAGGATCGGAGATCAAGAAATACCAAAGAGCGACCGTTTTCGTTACCTAGGATCTATCTTGCAAAAGAACGGAGAATTAGATGGAGATCTCAACCATAGAATACAAGCTGGATGGATGAAGTGGAAGAGTGCATCCGGCGTGTTGTGTGACCGCCGTATGCCACTGAAGCTCAAGGGAAAATTTTATAGGACGGCAATAAGGCCAGCGATGCTGTATGGCACAGAATGTTGGGCGGTGAAGCATCAACACATACACAAAATGGGTGTAGCGGAGATGAGGATGCTTCGTTGGATGTGTGTGGGCACACGAGAAAGGATAAGATTAAGAATGAGGATATCCGGGGTAAAGTAGGAGTAGCCGAAATTGAAGGCAAGATGAGAGAAAATCGGTTACGGTGGTTTGGACATGTGCAACGAAGGCCTACTGACGCTCCGATTAGAAGATGCGACTATGGGACAGAGGTTCAGGGCCGAAGGGGTAGAGGAAGACCTAGAAAAAACTTTGGAAGAGACTCTAAGAAAAGACTTAGAGTACTTGGATCTAACGAAGGACATGACACAGGACCGAGCACAATGGCGTTCTAAGATTCATATAGCCGATCCCACTCAGTGACTTGGATTTTCCAAGTCTCCAATCGAGAAGTTTTCCTCACTCGGGAAATTAAGGGAACACTACCCCAACCTACATGCTCCACTCAGAAAGCTTCAACATACAAGCTTCAACAAAAGAAAATTCAAAGAACTTAGCGAAGAAGGTTTTGGTGTATTTAACACAATACGTTGAAATGAAGGAAAACTTATTTATTGATATCCCCGATAAGCTACAAATGTGTACATATACATGAGTCAAAATAAACAAACAAGAGGGAGCCTTCACAAGGGTTGCTTAGGAGAAGTCTCAGCAGTCGGTAGAGCCCCAGAAAGAGAAGGCACCGGAGGGGGATCATTCGGAACCTCAGTACTGGACAGAACCCTAGAAGGATGAGGCATCAGAGGTTGATTATTTGGAGCTTCATTACGCGGTACAGCTCCAGAAGACGAAGGCAATAAATGCCTTTGGAACAAACCCACAAATCTCTGATGATCAAGTAAAACCTGACCATCAGTTTCCTTCATCTGGTCAAGCTTCCTCTTTATGTTTGTAGCATAGTCATGTGCGAGCCGGTGCAACTGTTTATTCTCATGCTTGAGCCCTCTAATCTCCTGTTTGAGACTCATCACCTCAGCCGCCAATGATTCAACTTGGCGGGTTCGAGCAAATAGGGCGTTGGGCCATATTAGACACAGAACCTGCACACTGAACACTGAGAGCCAGCGAATCCTTAACAGCTAACTCATCAGACCGTTTGGAAAGTAGTCTGTTATCTTTGGGAGTGAGAAGGTTCCTGGCCACCACCGCAGCAGTCATATCATTTTTCATCACGGAATCCCCAACGGTAAGAGGACCAGTAGGGGAGACGAAGGATGGGCGCCATATGTTGTCTGGAGAAGGCGGGGTTGCCCTCTTCAACAAGGTTCAAGTCAAAACGACGGTCGGAGGGGCCAGACATTTTCAAAGGTGTTGAAGAGAGAAGAGGTTGGACAAATCAAGATCTTAGAAGTGCAAGAATGGAACTTCTACTGGTGGAGATTCAAGTGTGCTTTGGAACTTAATGCCAGCCCCTATAAAAATCTGCACTCGACGGATCTTCAGAAATCGAAGAGGCGCCTGCTCAGAAATCGAAGAGGCGTTTGCTTTCTCAAAAGCTGGGCTGCTTAGAGACCACGAGGGTTGATCTCAGAAATCGAAGAGGCGTTTGCTTTCTCAAAAGTTAGGCTGCTCAAAAGACCACGAAGGCCGATCTCAGAAATCGAAGAGGCGCTCGCTTTCTCAAAAGCTGGGCTCCTCAGAGACCACGAGGGCTGATCTCAGAAATCGAAGAGGCACCTACTTTTCCAGCCTTGTCAGCACCTGTCACACGCACACTCAGCTTTGCGGAAATTATGGGCATTCTGTCGAAGACTTCTGAGGAAGTAGAAAACACATGAATCTTACTGTTCAATCACCCACTTCCCACACGCAACACTAGCTCATGGGTACCACAGATAACTTTGCCAAAGTTCTCTGCCAAAATTGAGCACGTAAAGCTTGCAGCTCCCACTACATCGCTCTGACCAAGAAAGGTAAAAGAATAGCAAAGAAACAGCACTAACAAAGTTTAGACCCATAAATTTTGAAGGTCTAGCTACCATATTATTACCCACAAGGGTAAAGGAACAGTACCACTGCTGGATAATTGGAAAGTCCCTGTGTCAACCTCTGTGCTTCGTGGCAAGGTAGACTAGCAAACATGCCCAACCTTTACTCACACTCGAGAAAACACTACCAATAAGATTGCTTGCTCCAAAATCGAAGAGGCACCGTCCTCCGAATCTCGAGAGCCAGACTCCCAACATGACTACTTTCTCAAAAATCGAAGAGAGGGTAAAGGAACAGTACCATTGCTGGATAATTGGAAAATCCCTGTGTGTCAACCTCTGTGCTTCGTGGCAAGGTAGACTAGCAAACATGCCCAACCTTTACTCACATTCGAGAAAACACTCCCAACAAGATTGCTTGCTCCAAAATCGAAGAGGCACCGCCCTCCGAATCTCGAGAGCCAGACTCCCAACATGATTACTTTCTCAAAAATCGAAGTGACACTGCTCTCCGAATCTCGAGAGCCAGACCCCCATCATGATTGCTTTCTTAAAAATCGAAGATGCATCGTTCTCCGAATCAATCGAAGAGACGCTCGCTTTCTCAAAAGCTGGGCTGCTCAGAGACCACGAGGGCCGATCTCAGAAATCGAAGAGGCCCCTACTTTTCTAGCCTTGTCAGCACCTGTCACACGCACACTCAGCTTTGCGGAAATTATGGGCATTCTGTCGAAGACTTCTCGAGAGCACAGACTACTTTTTCAAAGTGCTCTGACAGAGTTAAAACATGTGAAGCTGGCAGCTCCCACTACCGTGCTATGACCAAGCAGGGTAAAGGAATAGCATTACTACTTGTTGTGTTAGGGAGACTCCTATATATGTCGACCTCCATCCCCAACGGACAGGCAGACCTGCAAAAATGTTCAACCCTTCCTCATATTTGAGAGGGCACTCCCAACGAAGCCTTTCGAAATATTCAGCTTTCTTTCCCCCCGATAATACCTTTGCAAACAAGCTATACTAGAGCAAGAATATCTCATATCATCAGGGTTAAAAGTAAGAGTATCCCATATCATGCTTTTTCCCTGTCTTTTCCTTTGGCCTTGTTGTTACCTGCAAGACAAGGAGAAAGAGAGCAATCAGTCAGCACTTGGAATCAAGCTTCCAGCCAGGAACTGACTGCCTGGAACCCCTTACCTGATTACTTACCTGGCATTGCTCTCGAGTACTCATCTTCAACATCTTATGTTTCCAGGGAAGATACCGCATCTGCTTGAGGAACAGATAGGGCAAGTGCGAAGGATACAAGGAAGCATGTGGAGACAAGCGTAACAGCACACGTGCCGATACATCCATTACTCTGTCAAAAGCAAAAGTATCCCATATCAGCAGGGTCGAACGTACTCTAGATTTGATGGACTTGTTTTGACCCTCAAATTCTTCAGTCGGCTCTGGAGGAAACCAGAAAACCCTCCAGCTCAGTTCAAGAATAAGCCTGTGGAAAGTTACTTCTTCAAAAGCAAAAGTATCCCATATCATCTCTTCTCATCTTTCTTCTCTTTATCCTTCATGCTGCTGCAAGATGGGGAGAAGGTGAACAATCAGCCGGAGCTCTGATTGCTTACCTTGTCTGTCACCTCTTTCAGCAGATCCCCTAGCTCGGCGACTTGGGAGACTCCTACTACATGGTTTGTATCGCGCTTGACCAAGCCTGAAACTACAAGTAAGCTTCAAGTGAAATTGATACATTACCTTGTGCATCTCCACCAGTTAAAGATACCACCCCTGGATGGAGGAAGAGTACTTCCAGAGAAGATGCCACATCTACCTATGAGACAGATAAGGCAAGTCAAAGACGATACCACACTCCGATACTTAGAAGTTTCGTGATTACGAGATCATTCTCTCACAATATTTCCTAATGTCATTTGTACTAAATCATTCACTTGTACTCACTAAAGGAGAGCTTGAACCTATGTACTTGTGTAAACCCTTCACAATTAATGAGAACTCTTCTATTCCGTGGACGTAGCCAATCTGGGTGAACCACGTACATCTTGTGTTTGCTCTCCTATCTCTATTCATTTATATACTTATCCACACTAATGACCGGAGCAATCTAGCGAAGATCACAAAAAGCGACCGTTTTTGCTGCCTAGGATCTATCTTGCAAGAGAACGGAGAATTAGATGGAGATCTCAACCATAGAATACGACCTGGACGGATGAAGTGTAAGAGTGCATCCGGCGTGTTATGTGACCGTCGTAGGCCACTGAAGCTCAAGGGAAAATTTTATAGGACGACAATAAGGCCAACGATGTTGTATGGCACAGAATGTTGGACGGTGAAGCATCAACACGTACACAAAATGGGTGTAGCGGAGATGAGGATGCTTCGTGGGATGTGTGGGCACACGAGAAAGGATAAGATTGGGCATGAGGATATCCGAGGTAAAGTAGGAGTAGCCGAAATTGAAGGAAAGATGAGAGAAAATCGGTTCCGGTGATTTGGACATGGGCAAAGAAGGCCGACTGACGCTCCGGTTCGAAGATGTGACTACGGGACAGAGGTTCAGGGCCGAAGGGGTAGAGGAAGACCTAGGAAAACTTTAGAAGAGACTCTAAGAAAAGACTTAGAGTACTTGGATCGAACGGAGGACATGACACAAAACCGAGCGCAATGGCGTTCTAGGATTCATATAGCCGACCCCACTTAGTGGGAAAAGGCTTTGTTGTTGTTGTTGTTGTTGTCTGACCTGAAACAAATTCTATGCTTAGTGGTAAAGTTTCAGTTTTGTACATCTGTCTTTTAATTAGATATGCTAACCCTTTACCAGGGATGTTAATATTTAACAAATTCTTCTGCTTCACGCCATTTAATTTTTTAGTGTATCCACTGATTAATTGTCATCTGAGAATATTGAAATTTTCATTGTATTTTATTTCGTGGGGCTTGCTTATAACATGGTTTCTGGGCAGAAAACAAGAATATCTTTATTTTAAGGGATGCTTGATTAAATTAAGAAGGTTTCAAGTTAAATCTTTCGGCTACTTCTGCTGGATTTGTTTTCTCATTAAGGGTGGGTGTTTTTCTGAAAAAATTTCGTTCCTTTTAGCAGGTTTAAAATAAACCTTTAAAAGTGATTTTCATTGTGAATTGTGATGTCACCGCCACTGCTTGGTGTTGGTGAGGAGGAGGGTCAGAGCGATGTTACATTTTTGTCTTCTTCGGGTTCTATGGAGAGTGTATGCCAAAACAGTTCGGAATTGAAGGAGCAAAATTACATGGGATTATCTGATTGTTCTTCGGTAGGCAGTTCAAATGTCTCTACAGCCTCTGATGGAAGTAATAGTAGTCTGAATTTGAAGGCCACAGAACTTAGACTCGGGCTTCCTGGATCCCAGTCTCCCAAGAGAGACTCAGATTCGAGGGTAATCACCACTCAACTTGATGAGAAGCCCCTATTCCCGCTGCATCCTTTAAAGGATGGCCACTATTCTTCATCGCAGAAAATAGTTGTTTCGGGAAACAAGAGAGGTTTCTCCGATGCTATGGATGAGTTCTCAGAGGTAAAAACAACTGGTTTGTTTGAAGAGAGAATTGGATATGTTTATTTATTTCTTTATTATGTCTGGCTTTTCGATCACCCGATTTGTGATGCAGGGGAAATATGCTAATTCAGAGGTAAACCTGTTGCTGTCACCCAGACCTTCTCCAAACTTGGGACTGAAATCTGGTTCTACACTTGAGAACCTTGGGACTCAACCACCCAAAACAAAAGAGGTGGCACCAGCAAAGGTAGTACAAGAGAGGCCTCATGCTGTCAATGATACCAGATCGAATCATACCGGAAATAGTACTAGGAGTGCACCTGCTTCCAAGTAAGTGATTCGAGAAAATTGCCGTACCGTTGAAATATATTTGGCAGAAATTTGTACTTTGGCCTTTCACAATGAAAATGGAGTCTCAGCTTCCTTATATGTCAGGGCGCAGGTTGTGGGTTGGCCACCTATAAGATCATTTAGGAAGAACTCATTGGCCACTACATCAAAAAACACTGAGGAAGTAGATGGAAAATCGAACCCTGGTGCTCTGTTTGTCAAGGTCAGCTTGGATGGTGCACCTTATTTGAGGAAAGTAGATTTGAAAAATTACTCTGCATACCAGGAACTTTCTTCTGCTCTTGAAAAGATGTTCAGCTGTTTTACCATAGGTGAGCAGTTGTAAACATTCAATGTTTACAGATGTCTTAGTCTATTCTTTCATGTATCTAATTTATGCTGGCTGAATTATGAGTTTAACTAGAAAGTTTCTGCATTTTGCATGGATCTAGTTACTGCTATGGTTGTATGATTTCAGGTCAATATGGATCTCATGGAGCTCCAGGCAGAGAGATTAGCGAAAGCAAGCTGAAAGATCTGCTTCATGGCTCAGAATATGTTCTAACTTACGAGGACAAAGATGGTGACTGGATGCTTGTGGGCGATGTTCCTTGGGAGTAAGTTCTCATTCATCTGCACATTTGTTTATCTACTAAGTTCCTTTTGTTATGTACGTAATTGACTTGCTAGTGATTCAAAAAAGCTTAAATCTCAAAAACTTCCCCTTTAAAACTTAACTTTTGCCCATAGGCTGGCAATGGAGTTACACTTTGTATCAAGTAGCATAGGGTTACGTTACTTATTTGGTAAATACTGTTACGTTACTTTGGCTATAGTTTAAAGGGAGCTGTTATCTGCACTCCGCCCTAGTGAAAAATATAATGGCAGAAGGAGTGCAGGATGACTATTTTGAGTGCTAATAACATTCCCAATATAAAATCTGAATTGATTTTGAAATCCTGCAAATCAATGAACCGGTGAACTTTTATTTTTGAGCAAAACGGTGAACTTTCATGGATGGTTAGATATCTACGTGGATTATTTATATGAGCTTCTATATACTGCATACAACATGCACGTAACTTTAATGCGCACATTAAAGTTGTTCCATTGGAAGATTAGGGCCATCAGTTTGATATTAACTTGGGATGGCTTGAACTTGAAGAACATGTGGAAAACTGATGAACCATGGGGAATGGAGGCAAAACGTGATATTTTAATGTGTAACCCATAGAACTTGATGTTAGTCGTATTTATGGGCACTCTTGTTGAGCAATGCGATTAAAGTATATCTAAAGAATCATAAAGATGTGAAACTTGTATTTGCATAATGATGAGAGAAAATTAGCTTTACCACCGAGAAGGAAACTACCCAAAACAGCTTGCGCAAAAAGGAATCCAGAGTCTTTTGACAAAGTTCTGCTCTACTATAGTTTTCAAGAAACGTCTTAACCATTAATAAGATAGATTGTTTCTTATTCTAGGGATGTGATCTCTTTTCTTTTATAGCACTGACCCCTCATGATCATGGATAGGTATGGTTGGAGTGTTTCAAAATGTGAGCATGGTGTGCTTTAATGTGTTGCCATGCTTGGATGGGTTATGTTACTATGTGCCGGCATATAGTTAATTGTCATTTTGCTTCAATAAAATATGTTCAGGTGTAATGCTGTTAATTTTGAATTTGTACCAGGGCTATTTTTTTATTTTATTTTCTTAAAGTCTGATGCAAATATGAACTTTTGACAGCATGTTTACTGATACCTGCAAAAGGTTGAGGATTATGAAGAGCTCAGATGCCATCGGCCTAGGTGCGCATAGTACGGATTATCATTAATCATTATCACATAATTAAGTCAGCCTTTCACTTTCCCCTACTATTGACATACGCACTCTGCTGATTTTTTTTCCAGCTATATAATCGGAGTTTAGTTTTATCTGTAAATTTGGAATTTTTCCTCGTCAGGATTGAAATGGTAGAACTAATTGGCTGCTGATTATGGTGTTTTTTTTTCATTAGTACATAATTAAATTGAACAAATAATTAGGATGGAAATTTTCCTTCTTGTCTTTGTATTTATATTTCTTCGTTTTCTGAACAGCTCCTAGGGCCATGGAGAAGTGCAGGAACAGGAACTAGCCAGTAATATACATTGTGAGGCCTTCCATCCAACAGTCTGAATTTGGAATGAAGGTAAGGCCTAAATCCACGGCAACCAGGTTATTTGGAGTGCAAGGATTTGTAGATCTTGGGGTTGGATGGGACGTCACGGGTGGCTGGTCTTATTATCTTATTGCTACATCTGTGTTTTTCGTTTACCATGGATTCATGTTTCTGAGAGTTCTGTGTCTAACTTATTGACGTTATCAGAACTACCGAAAGTCAAATCTCTGAAGTTGTATGTGCACAGGTTCCTGTTCCCATGCAGGATCCTCAAGTTTGTGAAGTGCCAATTGTCTGTGAACCCTTTGTTATGAATGCGTGTATGATCCAAAAGCTATGCTGAGTTCTACAAGTACAAAGTAACCATAATACACGGCTACACTATATTTATAGTGCTTTATTCCTTATCCAACCTAGACAATATCTTGTAATAATCTGGAAATCTAATTAGAACAATAAATAAAGGTTTCTTATTCAAAGTAAAATTCGGACGGCAAAGAAAATCACACTTTTAACCGACCAAATCAGCTCCGATTTGGTCCCAAGAAAGTCTCTTTTTAAAGCTTAATATGTCCTATTTCAATCCTTAGAAGGAACCGTTATCTAAAAACGCCATCTTGACCGTTAAAATGGTCAAAATATCCAGAAATGTCAATTTGTGAGCTCTTATTTTTTTCATCACGGTCAAACGGCTTGTAATACAAATCTGGAATTTTAACACGATCATTTTGAAAGATTCATGAACCCGTTTCAATTGGATTTGCTCCAAAATTCTTCCAAAATATATCACAGATTATCAAAATAACAAACAAATTATAACTAAAAATAAAGTAAAATATATAGTATAATATATACTTTATCAAAGTTTGTCACCCTCGCTAAAGCCCGTTAAATACACAAACGAAGCCATGCAATTGAACAGTTGTTTGGTTTCGGTCCGTAAATCAAACAACACAGATCATCACAAATGAGGAAACAAGTGGTTGTTTAAAAAAGAAGGAACGTGTCCTTACATCAACCTGGCAATATATAGCAATTGAGAACCCAATGAGCATAGGTAGACACGGGTTTCGGGTCAGCTTTGAAATCCAACACAATAATTCATAAACCTTAAATTTATATCTAACCGTCGATTGTCATTTATGTTTTATTCTTCTTACTAAATTTCATTTTTAAAATTTTCTTTTTTGAAAACATGATCATATGGCGGATGTAAGAAGATGAACGGTTCAGATCTTTGATATCACGTTTCGATATTTAAGATTAACCGAAATATGAGTCGATGTTATATAGTTTGTATAAACTTTATAAACATCAAGTAATATTTTCACTAACCGTAAAACTCTAAATATAATATCAACGATCCAAACCGTTCATCTTCCTACACTCTAATAGATCAAGTTTTCAAAAAACAAAATCTGAAAAAACAAAATTTGATGAGAACAATGAAGCGTAAATGTAAACAACAATCAATAGTTAAATTTTGATCTATGATTTATATGATTATAGTGGCGAATTTCGAAGTTAAGCTCTTCATGAAAGTTGTAAAGCTTGTCATTATGAGCGTTTATATATTTTTCTATATTTTTTTACACTTCTACATTAATTAAAAAACTATTAAAGACTTTAAGTAAGTGAAAATATACTTAAAAGAAAAATGTGTTTTATGTTTTGGATGTGACAATATGGTATGTATATAATTATTTAGTATTATGTTTTTCATTTGATTATTTATTGGTTTAAAATATATTTTCCTTAACGGGTAACGGGTCGGGTCATATTACCTATTAATATTATTGGGTCGATTTCGGGTCGGGTTATTTTACCCGTTTATTTTAACGA